TGTACGAGCAACCGAGCTCTAGCACAGTTAGCTCGCCTGATCTGTTTTCACGACACACAATGTACATGGCCGCGGCTATCATGTACATGTTCGGTGTGAGCTGCAAGGGTACAATCACCTGACAAAGGGGTGGAAAGGGATCAACCCCCCACCATTGAAAATATCCTCGAAGATCGCAACTAACCCTCGTGGCGGATTCTGAGATGTGCGTGTCCTTTCTTGGAAGACCTCCATGCTGATAGTGTATTGGTCTACTACCCTTTGAAGCTCATCGTCTGTAAGTATCGACAGGATCTCTCGAGAGGGACCCTTTCTCAGCTCTGGTCGTTGGGGGCTCCATTCTACTGCGGTCTGCAAAAGGGACATGCAGGGAAGCACTCAGTCTTCGTACACAGTTTCGTACAATGACGTGGAGGAAAAGGAAAATACTTCCTCCCTTAAACCCTAGAAAAACCCTAACAGAATACTTTTAGAGCCACCATCAATGGCTCAATCCCAAAGAGAATATTTCATCTCCGATCAACTTCCGATAGACAGTCATCGCATGGAAAATATTGAAAACAAGAAATAATAGTAAGGGTAGCAGAAGGATCATCCTTACCTCTTGAAATAAAAAGATTAGTCCTCCTGCTCCAGATATCAAGCGTGCGCCAATCTGGCAAACAAAGAATCACAACTCACGGAAATCTCTTGCCTTCTCTGAGAAGATGAATACTGTGGCATTGCCTAAAGTGAACTTGGGGTTTTATAGTGGAGGAAGTGGCGCTTTGGTTTCTCGAAATCAAACGACGTTTGGGCGGAAAACTCATCTCACCATTGATCGCAACCACGTGTCACAGATCAGCAAAGAAGAGTGACCGTCACGCTTTGAGAAACCAGATCGTCATCCTTTTCCATTGAAACGCTCAAGCGACGACACGTTTTCCCTCATCAACATTAAATGCGCTCACATCTGCATTCAATGCCCTGATAGGGAATGTCGTTTCAGCATGGCTCGCATTTAATATGCATGGCTGGCACTTATTGCACACAAGACACATTTGTCAGAGCAAAAGACATTTCATTAAATGCATCAGCTATGAAAGTGCAACGGATAACATCTGAAGAGATCGTTACACACAACACTCTTCGGCTCATGTCTCATCGAGAAGCGACATGACTCTTCGACTTGGGCATATATCGACTGCAAAGTAACACGACCTCTTGCCTTACGCAAAAAATTTCGCAGTACTATCAGTTCGTGAGCCTCGAGCAAAGATCGAAGCCATCGTCGTGGCACTGGATATGATCTAATTCAGGTCACTGACCCTTAAAGTAAAGGCCATTGCAGGTCGCCTGTATGAAAATGTTTCTTCGACCTCTCTGCATTCAGGTCAGTCAACCGGTGTTCAAACGCATCAAATCAGGGCATGACATGTAGTTTCCAAGGTTTGATTCTCAAACCTTAAAAACTAGAGGACTTCTATTATGCCTGGAAAAGTAGGGCTAACACAAATGGGATGTCAGTGTAAGTGGTCAGAGCTTAGGTAAGTCTAGGTGTCGTTCAGGTGCAGCCACATCGCGTGCTGATGCAAGAGGCGTGGTCCTGCCAGTGCAGTAGGTGCGCGTCAAGTTGGTGAAAGGCTGGAGGTGATCCACGTGTCCAATCGCTACAAAACTCGAGTGAATTACTTGAATAGGTGAATAACGGGGTGCAAGGAAGGATTTGCACAACAATCTCACCCATTCACGGATTTAGTAATCATTACGTGATTTCATCCCACTATAAATAGAGGGCTCCTCTCCCGTTTGTGGGATTAGCTAATTTCTCTCTATAATAGCTTACTTATTCTCTCTGTGTAATCACTTGTAAATTAGCTCGCTGAACGCGACCTGGCCTCAGTATATTAATATTTAATACAATATCAATGGAAGTAGGAGTCGCTTTTTAAGCATCCAAACCACTTTAAACATCGTTTTCCATCTTTTACCCATCCTCATACCCCCAATCGTGTGTGTACTCTGAGTCAGCTTAACATTTCATACGTGTGTTTAGTTGGTGTCAAAATCAAGCATCAACAGTCACCATTAACAAACCCATTTGCCTACTGTTCTCTGCGCCTTTCTCACTGGTTTTTTAGTCGTTTTTCTTGGGATTTTGCATAAAAAGGACAAATTTTGAAGAAATTTTATGGGTTTGATTTTGATGGAATAAAGATTGCTTGCGCAAATGGAAGATTCACACAAGGTAAAGTGAAGATGAAATGAAGAAAGCAAAAATGAAAGAGAGAAAATGTAGGTTACGACTCGATTATCAAATGAAAACATGGTAAAAAGGATTTGGAATGGAGGAGTCACCGGTGGAAGATTTTAGGGAGATGGAATGCAAATGGGTGAAAATCGGTGGAAAGTGGATTTAGGAATATAAAGGGGGTTTTCAGCTTGACTCGGTTTTTGGAAAAAAAAAACGGTTGGACTGACAGGTTGCTACAGTACAATCGGTCCAACCGTGGGTGAAACTGGCCCAAATCACTCTTCCGGTTTTTTGCCTATCCCGACTCAGCTCACCAGCCAAGTCCCGATCGAACCGGTTAAACTGGTCAAGTCGAGCCGGGTTTTAAAACATTGAGATAACCTCAGTAATCTATCTTTGATTCCGGACATTCTCTCGTTTGGTTGTCAAGTAATATAAGATTCCGATAATCTTCCAATACCAATAGCAGTTACTGTTAGTAATATAGGAGATAATCTAATTACCTCCATTTTTTAGGTATTGTAAGATTACTTAATAATCTTATTTTTGTTACAATTTTACCTTCCACTATTAAAATTTTTGGACAATAATGTCCTTACTTTGAAATTAATTTACATGAACTCTACCATTACAATTTTACCCCTAAATAATTACAGTTCTGGATAGTAATGCCCTTGTTTCTAAAACAATTTACAAGTCACCCAAGAGGGCTAATGCAGCTGGCCACCACCCCCACCACCGGCAACCATCGTCGGCCAACATCACCGGAATGGTGTACAACTGGTCGAATCTGGCTAGCTATGTGCCAATATGGCATTTTTTGGCCCTATCGATAGCCGTAAATGACAAGATGGCCGTGGATTTGGGATTTTTTTGGTTGAGCAGCCGCCAGTATTAAGCTCGATCTGGGCTGATTGCGGTATCACCGTCGGCCCCAACCACCACCATCTTACCCCTCTCGTTTTCCTTTTCAAATCCCACCCAACCCCATCACCGAAGCTACCCTCACTCGCCGGTGAAGCCCACTATTTTTTCGCAATTTCCCTTTTTCTCGGGGCTTTTCCAGTTGCGTTTTTTATCGAAAATCACCCCTACTTGCACCAATCAACTCCCCTTCACCTTCTCCTCAAAACCCCTCAAAGAAAATCTTTGTTGCACTTCTTGATTGACGGTCGGCAATGGTTTAGGCAACCGATAGTGGCTTGGGTGGGTGGGGGTGTTTTTGTCAAAAAATAAACTTTTTGGTTGGGGTGTTTTAGAAAAATCTCAAATGTAGGGGGTTAAAAATGATTCAAAAATTATTAAAAAAATAATATTATATTAATATTTTAAAAGGAGGGCAATTTAGTAATCTATATGAATTCCCACCAATTTCTTCCTCCCAACCAAACATATCAATATAACATACCCACTAATTTATTTAATTTAACCAAACACAGTCAATATAACATTTTTTGTGATCTTCAAGGTAATCTATCTTTCCATTAATGTAACATTCCCAGTAATACAATATTCATTGAACCAAACACACTCGGAATATTTAGGAAAATGTGTTTGGTTGGTTAGAATAAATTGGTGGGTATATTATATTAATATGTTTGGTTGGAAAGAATAAATTTGTAGGCATGTTATATAATTTACTAAATTGCTCTCCTTTTTAAATATTAATATAATATTATTTTTTTAATAATCTCTTTTAACCCCCTACGTTTGAGATATGGCTAAAACACCACAGTCACATAAAAGTTTAATTTGTAAACAAATCACTCCCATCCATTGCCATAACAGTGCACGACCGGCTGTCATTAATAGCCAAAAGTCGTAGATCTGGTAGGAAGCAACCAAAACAGATCTGGTCATTTCCGGCCAAATCTATGACGATCTGGTCATTTCCATCCATAGATGTTGATGAAAACAGCTATATCGACGCACGATAGGCCAAATTCGGTCGACCGTGTGCCGTTCCGATGTTGTCATCTGGCGGCCTGCTTTGGTGGCCAAATCCGGCCAACTGTCATGCGTAATATTTTTCAAGTTCATGGATATTTTCGTCTTAAAAATTTCATATATAAGGATAAGATTGTCTTTGAATTTTTTTTTAAATTTTTTTCAAAACAAGGGTATTATTATCCAAAAATTTTAATAGTTAAAGGTAAAATTGTAACAAAATTAATATTACAAAGTAATCTTAAAATACCTAAGAAAATAAAGGTAATTAAATTACCTACTACTATTAGTTTTGGAAGATTACTAGAATATTATATTACTTGGTAATAAAATAATATAAGATGACATTACCTCAATAATCTTACACCCCCAACCAAACACACACTTAGTGTTTCATTATTTACCAATGAAGAAAAGTTATGCCTTTAAATGACCTTAGGTGGCCGAGTGAGGTTATAGGCACTCGTAGATGTATTATTCAAGAGATCTTGAGTTCAATTATTCTCGATTACTAATAGGAATAACCACTTAAAGATATATCCATAAAACAAAACAAAACAAAACAAAAATGTTATGCCTTTACAAGCTAATTCCTTTCTCCAAGAAGTTGGCTTTTAAGCTTTTACATATGAATATTCATATCATTTTTTTTTTTATTAATTTTAAGAGATATGTTCAAATGGTGCCCTTGCATAATTAATCAATTATATAAAAAATTTCAATAACTCTTACAAGTAAATGCTAAATATTCAACCAAAATTAAGTATTCTATCTTTTCTAAAATATATATTATATTAATTATAAAAAATAGATTCAATTTTTAATCACACCGTCACGATCAACTTCTCGAATTCCATGTGGCAACTGAGGAACAGAGCAGTGTGAGAATTATTAAAGAAAGATTCAAAGTTTTGATTCTTTTGAAGATAAGTCTTGAAAGGGAAACTACAGAAGTAAGACTGCCTCGCGAAAAGGGACAGCATTTCCTTGAAATGGGCTGTGAGGTGCTTTGAGATAGTAGGAAACAAAAGCAAGAAGGAAGCACAACGCCTCAGAAACTTCATATTCTTCACTTATTCTAACATACAGCTGCATATGAACAAAGATTGAGAGAGAAGGATGGATGGATTTACATAAGAGACATCTACAATTTACTAGTTAGTATGAGGCTCCCATCAGATTATACGAAAAGAAATATAATATTGCTGCTTAGTCAGCTATATAGTTCTGGATGATGTAAAGCTGCCTTCTCTGACGCTACTCGATAGCATATTGCTGCTCTTCTCTCTGTTGAAAAAGGTTCAAAGTTTCTGTCGCTTCCACAAAGGCAAGCCACATACTTCTTTCATACTCCAACATATCTACAATTTGAATAACAAAAAAGTTGCAGATTAAAAATCAAGCTGTATAAATCACTGTTGAAGTTGAATTCTCACCTTCTCCAGTGCAACCTTTGCCGCACATCCCTCTTCTTCCCTCTGCTTGCAAAGTTTCAAAGCTTCTTCAGCTTTTAGCATGCGTCTCTTGGACTCCAGCATATCTCTATTAATCTTATCTAGAAGAGTCTTCAGTTCTACAGTCTCTGCCTCACAACAACACAACTTGTCCTCAATTTGGCGAAGCATGTCCCTAAGAAGTGAAGCCTCTTCTCGAAGTGACTGAAGATGTTTCCTGGAAGAAGTAAAGTCAGAGACAGCCTTCTCATGGACCTTAGACATATGACCCAAGTGAACCTTTTCACTGTTATACAGCTCAGTACACCCTTGCAAGGATTGTTCATTGCAGATCGACTGCTCTACGGCAGAAAGTCTTGTCACTGAATCAATGAATTGTTTCACACGACCAGAAAATGCATCATTGTGAACTGGCATGCCATCTAGAAGAGGTAAAAATAAGCGTGCAGCTTCTTTCATGGAATCATAATTAGACAGACTGATCAAGTTCGGGATCATGACAAGCTGATTCTGAATATGCAGAACCTCAAGAGATTTTGAAATTAAACTTGCAACAAAATCTCTAACATTTTCATCCTCTATTGTAGTGGAAGAACGTTTGAGACCTGAACCTGATGGCTTCCGGATATCACCATTCCAGAGCTGAAGATCATGCCCAGGAATTGGCAATAATAAATAGTCATCGTCACCGCGGGAAAGAGACTGGCTTGGCAAGCAAGTTAAGCCTTCAGGATTATGCATATTTCTGTCTTTAGGAACGAAGATGAGATCATATGAAGGAAATATACCTATTAGAAAGTAATGTTAGAACCCATAACTGGAGGGAGAAACTAATACCACATATACACACGTGAAACCCTACCACAAAAGAAAGGACTGGGAGGACGATCTTTTAAACATCGTGGAGGAGGGAAAGCAAGCCTGCCCAACCAGCCCACCAGTTGGAGACCTAAGCTTTGATAAATCACATCTGTTACCTCCAAAACAAATATCTACTGTAAATAAAAGTATACCATTATAGTATGACAAGATGTAAACAAAGAATAGAAGTAAAATCGGTAAACAAACAGCAAACTAGAAATAAGCACCTGCGGTTGAAATGCCCGCAACAGAAATCTGCTTCCAAAACTCCATCTGTCGGCAATGAATATCATACTGAGACATTAGACGATCCACTGAAGCTTTCTGCATTGTGGAATCCCATGACTCTACCTCCTGCATGACTAGATCACCTTTGGTAGAATTGGGGACAGTATTTTCATTTTGGGGAGTCAAACATAGGGATGGATCATGTCCTTTTTCAGGCAAAATTCTTGATGTCCTACCAGAATCTTGGTTCTCCTTCAACAGTACATAAGCTTGGGCTGAAGATGTAGGCACAGCCTCAGAATTCGGGAAATCTTGGGGGTTTGACAAAATGGATTCCATCCTCTCATGCTGCTCAGTTTGCAATTCATTGTTTGTTTCATCAAAAACCTTGTGGCTATCACACATAGATTGAGGTGAGCCATAGCCTTTGCTTTTGGATGATTGACTATCTGCCCATTCAAAGAATAGGCATGCCCCAAGTCCCTAGGTCAAAGTCACCACACTTTGATCAGAATCAAACCAATTAATGAAGACAGTTGGTTTCAAAGCACATCTTCTCCCCAGCTTTTCTACATATGTTCATGTTGTTTATATAAAAAATAAAAGGGAGCATGGTTTGAAATGAGTTTCTTGATTAATATTTCTCCAATAAATTCATAAATAAACTGCAAAATATTATGCGAGTAGAGATAGGGAAAATTATAAACATCATAAAGTTAAAGAAGATCTCTCTATTGTACATCAGCAAGTGTGTATGAAATATGCTATATAATTCTCCACTGCTAAGGGCTCATCAAACTATTCATGAACTATGTTCAGGTATTAGATCCACTTCATGACAGGAAATAATTAACTCAAATCATTTTAGCTAGTATAGAGGAATTTCTCTGCGATGGGAGCTAAAATCACCTTCCAAGTAACTAACAATACCAACTGCCAAGGCAGAAGCAGAATTTACTCTCTAGCAAGTAATGTTTCAGTTTTGATCGCATCATTGCAGATGGCATGCTCGCTCTTCAGAAAAAAAAAATGAAACACAAAAAGCAAGACCTATTCCTGCATCCAGACACAGCTAAGTCACAGTCCTTTTAAGAGAATTAACTCATTTAGTGGTTCAGGGCTTAAAGTTTGTTAAAGGAACCAACACAAACTAGTTGAGAATCAAACAGAAAAACTAGATCAAGAAGACCAACAAAACTAACATCAAATATAAATGACTACGTTATACTGACGAAGTACTAGTTATTGAACGATCAAGATTATACCTTTTTTATGGGACAAACAAAATAGCTGCGACCCACGTTGGGTCCTTTAACTTCAGCATATTTCCTACATGTTCCTGCACCACAACGACATTTAGGAGGAATCTTTGTATCTTCTTTTTTCATCTCGTCACACCATTTAAAAAATTTACATTTTCCACTTCCCTATAAGTGATTTTTCAAAATAAACCCAAATCAGAACAAGAAATCGCAGAAAATGAAAAACAAACATCTTTAACTAAGAATCACAAAACAAAAAGAAACCAACCTGTACAGGGCAGGTGTAGAAACTCCTATCAGGGTTCTTTTCAGTTTTAGAAACCCAAATGCGGCAAGTTCCATTACCACATGGACAGTGGATCAAGGGATAATCGCACCTCCTTGTGGGTCCACCACGACTGGAGGAAGGTGATGACTTCTCGGGAGTTTTGCTCGGGCAAATTCTCGCCCAATGACCCGGCTTGCTACAGTAAAAACATATATCTTTTTGCATTCTGCTACTCCGAGAGAAACGAAGCGTTGTTGCCGTTGGTTGTGGCGGTGGCGGTGGTGGTGATGGCGATGATGGAAGAGTTGACTATTTTTCTCACATCATCTGGATTATCAGGACGGTGACTGATGCTCGTATTGAGTATGGACACTGACACCGTAAAACGAGCCCTAATTTTCATGCCCACGATTTATTTTAAAATTACCGAAAAACCTCTGCGATTTGAGCATTATTTATGATTTCCCCACATGGTTTGTTAATGTTTCGTTGTCCTCCCTCCAAATTTGCATAATTACTGAGCCAGTAAATGTTCGTTGATGTCACGTCACGTCATGTCATGTCATATCATATCAGACATGACTGAAAAGATATCTCTCGTTCACTATTTTATGCTTTTAAAATAGTAATTTGAAAAAATTAAAATTGAATTATCTATGTAATCTATCCTACAGGTAATTATTGGAAATGTTTGACTTATTATTTTACAGGTAATTATTGGAAATGTTTGACTTATTATTTTTGCCTGTATTCTCAATTCTATTCTCTCAATAATATTTGACATATTATTTTAAAAATATTATTTTATTTTTTAATTATTTTAGACCCCATAAGGTTATTAATTTTATTAAATACACCTTGAAAAAAAAATTTAAAAATTAGCAAAAATATCCCTGTGACCTATACTTGCCCGATTCCAGCAACCACCATCGGTGATAGTCGAAATCTGTACAACGGCCTATCTGCTGACCAGAAATAGCTGGAAGTTCATCGATCTGGCCTTTTCCGACCAGATCCACCACGAATCTGGTCGAAAAATGCCATATCTTTGGCCGTCGTTTTGGTCTTTTCCAGCTATCGCGGCCACAGCAGGCCGTAGATCTGGCCTTTTCCGGCCAGATTCATAGTGGATCTGGCCAAAAAAGGCCATAACAATGTGTTACGACACAGATCCAACCGGTCTATATCGTAACGTGATTTTTCGATCAGATTCTGACAAAGGTGGTCGGAATCTGGCACTGTAGGTGATGGGGGTGTTTTTGTCATTTTATATATTAGGATATTTAATTAAATTAGCAAACCTAGGGGTTTTTTTATAAATTTTTAAATTTTATCTCGTAATACTCTCCTATTCAACTATCTAATATTATTCCCAAAATCTTATACAAAATAATAAATCAAACTCACCCATTAATATTTTAAAAATTAAATAAAGTAAAATTAGATTTTAAAAATATTATTACAAATATATTTTTAGATTTTTAAAATAAGATAGAATAATAATAGTGAATCAAAAGCTACAGTAATTTTGAACCCCTTGCTAGCAAACCAAGAGATTAAATTAATGGCCGAACGACTTGTGCATACCCAAGATTTACCATAATGACAAGTTGGTACCTAAAAGGTTTTGAAACGACAAATAGGTACCTTCCGTCATATTCTGTTACTGATTTCTGTTTATTAATAGTGAAAAGACTAAAATGCCCTTCAAAGTTTCAATTTTAGTTTTTTATAAATTGAAAAATTTCTAAAAAAACCCTCTAAGTTTGCTAATTTAATTAAACACCCCCATATATAAAAAGTTTGTTAAATAACAAAAACACCCCCAGTGCCAGATTCCGGCCACCATCGCCGGAATCTGGCCGAAAAACTACATTACGACACAGACCCGTCGGGTCTGTGTCGTAACGTGCCGATCTGGCCTTTTCCGGTCAGATCCGCCACGGATCTGGCCGGAAAAGGCAAGATCTGGCCGTCGAAGCAACAGCCAGATCTGGCCTTTTCTGGCCAGATCCGTGGCTGATCTGGCCGGAAAGGGCCAGATCTACTGCCAGATCTGGCCGTCGACGCCGCAGATGGAGTTTTGCGGCGTCGACGCCCAGATCTAGCCGTAGATCTGGCCTTTTCCGGCCAGATCAGCCATGGATCTGGCCGGAAAAGGCCAGATCGACGCGTCACGACACAGATCCGACGGGTCTGTGTCGTAACGCAACTTTTCGGCTAGATTCCGGCGGTGGTGGCCGGAATCTGGCACTGCAGGTGACGGGGGTGTTTTTGTTATTTTACAAAATTTTTATACATTGGGGTATTTAGTTAAATTTGTAAACTTAGGGGATTTTTTAGAAATTTATAAAAAACTAAAATTCAAACCTTTACGGGTATTTTAGTCTTTTTACTATTAATAAACAGTAATAAACAGAAACCGCTGACAGAACATGAAGGAAGATACCTATTTGTCATTTCAAAACCTTTTGGGTACCAACTTGTCGTTACGACAAACCTTGGGCACGTGTAAGCCGTTCTCTCTAAATTAATTATAAAAACTAGATTCAATCTTTAATCACACCGTCACAATCAAGTTCTCGAAATTCCACGTGGCAAAGCCTAACTCAAACTCCATCAGCTGTTACTTTAACCATGTCACGTACCTGTCACGGGATCACTTTGTCTCTGTTGAAAAACCCTACCAACTTTATATAAAAGCTTAGCGGCTTCGCTCTCCGCCACCACCAACAGTTAACAGAGGCTTCGGTCCAGTGTCTTTTAAGTACTAGTAACAGATGCCTCAGAAAACTCCTCTCAATTACCTGTTTTTATTTTTATCTTTGTTTACAAACGAGTAAAGATTGATCCTTTTGTTTACAACCTCATGTTTACTTGAGTGTAGTTTCAAAAAGATTGCATTTTTTAGTTCTATACGTTAGCTGTGGTGGCACTATAGAGTGAATGCATTAGTTTAAAGTTATTACATTGTTTGTTTGTTTGATTCCTTTACTGTGTTATGTCATTATTAAAGAAACTTTGTTTTTTTACTGAATTGATGAACCTTTTCTTTTATATTCAGGGTTGGTGTGATGTATGTGGAAAGGATATAGAGGATTTTATTTGCATTTTTGATGGCGGTTGCATACTTTCCTTGTATTCAATCTGCAAGGGTTACTCCTAGGGGTAGTTGCTTTTTTTCGGTTGGTAATTATAGCAGAAGCTATAAGAGAAGATGCTGTCTGGTTCTTGCTTCTGCAAAGAAATTACAGGACAATTTTGGACTTGAATCCAAGGTACTTATAAATTACTATCCATCAATGTCTAATGAGTTACCATTTTATGATGCTTTTGTGTCTTCATTAATCAGTTGATTATATTTTGAAGCTTCTAGATAAATGCTTAATGAAGGAGTCTGTGTAATTGCATATGTTGTTGCTGAAAATGCTTAGCAGACTTCATTTGGGTTTCTTTTGCATAGGTATTCCTTATGTTCTGATGACTTTGATGAAATCTTTGATGCTTTTATCTGGATACAATGAAGCGGATGCCTCTGAGCATGTCAGTCGAAACATGCCACTGAACTTTCTTAACTTGCAAAACTTTTATTCTTAGGCTCTTGTTGGTTTTACTTTTTATGTTTTTTCAACAATGTGCAAGATTCAACCGGACTAGTCAGGTGTCTGCCTTTTTCGTCATGGTAGGGACTGTTACATGTCTGGAAGAGGAAAGATGGGGATGTAATCTGGTGGATGGGCTTCCCATTTATCTGTTTACCAACTCTTGAAAGTGTTCATCGTTGCCTAGTAATAAATTTAATTATTGTTGAGCTACATCTGGACTCTACATGTTACCTTTCTCAATGTCTCTATGAATGCTTATGCATATATTTAAGTTGGCAGTGTACTGTTTTTAGTTTTACCTTGTAGGATAGTAACATTTCCTTCCCGCTGTTTTATTATTATTTTTTCAGACTAGTCAGATTCCTGCCTCCACCATTACAGTAGGAATTGTTACATGTCTGGAAAAAGAAAGATAGGAAAGGAAATTTAGTGGATGGGCATCCCATCTATTTGTTTACCGCTCCTTGAAGGTGTTCATCGTTGCCCAGTAATAAATTGAATTATTATTGAGCTACATCTGGACTCTACATCTCACTCTCTAATTTATGTGTATGTTTAAATTTAAGCAAGCATATGTGTCCAAGCACGTCAGTGAACTTCTTTAAATTTGTAAGTTATTTTTTTGCCTTGGCTGTTTTAGTATTATTGTTTTTTCAAGACTGCTCAAGATTCAACCAGACTAGTCAGATTCCTGCTTTGCCATTGTTGTAGGGATTGTTACATGTCTGGAAAAGAAAGATAGATAAGGAAACAATGTAGATGGGTTCCTCATCTATTTGTTTACCTTCTCTTGAGTGTGTCTATCGTTGCCCAATAAAGAATTAATTTTTATTTGAGCTACATCTGGACCCTACATGTCTCTCTCAAAGTATATATCCATCTCTATGTATGTATTTAACAAAAATTATTGGCTTCGTTTGGTTCAAAATTTGGAGGTTTTGGGAAAAGTTTTTTGAAAAAAGTTAAAAAAAAATTGAATTGGGCGGGTATTACGAGGTAGGATTTATAAATTAATAAAATGCCCCCTATGTTTGTTTTTTTACAAAATACCCCCTATAATAAAACATTAAAAGTTAACAAAAACACCCCTAACCCACCCTCAAATACCCCCAGCCGGCCACCACCACCGGATGTTGCCGGAGTCGTCTTATCGGCTGGATCTTGCCGGTCATGCATCCCTATGGCCTTTTTTGGCCAGATCTGGCCGTATTTGCTCTCAACGACGGCCAACAAACGGTCGTCGTTGATGTCAACGACGACCGTTTGTTGGCCGTCGTGACTGACTGTTACGGCCAAAGATTTGGCTGTCAACGGCCAGATCCACCGTGGATCTGGCCAGAAAAGGCTAGATCGGCGTACTACCGGCCAGATTCAGTCGGTAGTGCGTCATCCTACCAGATTCTGACCATTTTTCGACGGTGGTGGCCAGAATCTGGTAAATGTGGATTGTTGGGGTGTTTTTGTAATTTTTAAAAAAATATTTAGGGATATTTAATTAAATTAACAAATTTAGAGGGTTTAAAAAAAATTGAATAATATTAAAAGTAGTATTCCCAAAAATGAGAGTTTTTGAGTATTTTACTGTTTAACTTTTTTGGCAATACTAAGAGTAGTATTCTCAATTTTGAACCAAACGAAGCCATTGTGTGTCTGTTATTATTATTATTGTTTTTTTAAGTTTCCATTCAACTTTAAACTTTTGTCTGTACAAAATGATTGGTGATAAAATATCTAACAGCCTAATTTTAGGTTGAGACATTGTTAGACAGCATAAAATGGGATGAGAAAGGTCTGGCAGTGGCTATAGCTCAAAATGTTGACACTGGAGCCATATTAATGCAAGGCTTTGTGAACAGGGAAGCACTAGCTAAAACAATTTCCTCTCGGAAAGCAACATTCTATAGTCGGTCACGGTCAACTTTGTGGACAAAGGGAGAGACCTCAAACAATTTCATCAATGTTCATGACATTTTTGTTGATTGTGATCATGATTCTGTATGTTCAGAACTCTTGTACTCGTTAAGCCTTTAAGTTGAATATTGCTGTTAGTTTGCTTAACTGAGAAGTTTCCTCTCAGATAATTTATCTTGGGAAACCTGATGGACCTACCTGCCACACCGGCTCAGAAACTTGCTACTATACATCAGTTACTGATCTCTTAGATGATCAACAGGTTCACAGCTCTAATGTTTCAATTAACCAATTATATCATATACTTTCACTGTAATATTACAGATTAACTATAGCATTCTGACTGTAATTGAATTTAATCATATGTGGCAGGCTGAAGAAAATAAGTTGGCATTGACTACTTTGTACTCGCTGGAGTCTACAATTTCCCAGCGCAAAGCAGAGTTAGCAGCTCCACAAAATGGAAAACCCTCATGGACCAAACGATTATTACTTGATAAGAACTTGTTATGCTCCAAGATCCGGTAAACATACATGCTTTTAAGAGTTGATTTTAAGTCACTGTTCAGTCAAAACTGTTTACTTGTTAATTTACAATTGCAATAAATGTTCTTGTCTTGTTACTTCTTTGTTTCCGGTTTACATAAATAAATAAAATAACCCTTTGTTAGAGGCTCAAAACTATAGCTAATTGTTAGAGGCTCAAAACTATAGCTAAAAGCCTATTAAGTGCCTACTATAAACGTCTCTTAATAAGGATTGAAAACTCTGAATATTGCAAGCAATAATTTTTTGCATTTTTGTTGAATGTGTAATGAAGCGTTGCTTGTTGATTTTTCAGTTTTTTACAACTCTCTCTAGGAAGTAGGAAATGGTGGAAGTGTCTAAATCTTTTGTTACTTCAAAATTTTGGCAAGTATAGAGGATGCCCATATGTTTATATACATTATATGTGTATAGTATTGTACTCTAATGGTTCGGTTATCCCACTCATAGGGAAGAGGCAGATGAATTATGTCGAACACTGGAGGAGAATGAGAACAAGTCACGCACTGCCTCAGAGATGGGAGATGTACTCTATCATGCCTTGGTTCTGCTAGCACTTAAAGATGTGAAAACAGAAGATGTTTTAGAAGTTCTCCGGCAAAGATTTTCTCAATCGGGTATTGAGGAAAAGAAAATTCGCAAATCACACAGTTAGACAACTAAGTTTTTAGTACTGTCCGCAATCCCAGTGAATTGGCCCGACGATGGCTATATGTCATCTTGTTTGTCAAATCGAAAAGTCAAATATGTTTTTACTTTTTTTAGACTGAATCATATTGATCAAAGTATACACTACTATTATGAGAATATATTCAATTTGTTGTATATCTATTCAATAATAATATGACTGCAGTTTATTACACACCGGTGGTTTGAGATTTACCATTTTGATCACAAATTGTTTGGTTTTCCTGGATTTTCTAAGATTTGGTATAAATCACCAATGTTTTAAAACTTGGCCTGGTTAGGTCGGTTCAATTGGGACTTAGGGTTTTCATCCTGTTGGGTTAGTAATTTTTTTATTTACCAAAAATCTTAGAAATTGGGAAGATGATTGGTAAACAATTGAAGGTTGAGATGTTTGGGGTTTTTGAAGAGGAAGGGCTGGTGAGTGCGTGGCGCGGAGGTGATTTAGGTTGTGGCACAGTAGTAAATATGGCAGGCTATTTTTGTAAAGCCTATTTGAATTTGATTTCTATGCCTAGTCTAGAACTAGAAGCCGCTCCAGCCCAACAAGACCGCATTTAAAAGATAATGATTAAAATAAAAAGTAAAAATTGGTATTGACAGATCATGTTAATTGGTGAACCTTGTATAAGACAAATTCAGAGGAAGCCTAGCCTAAAATAAGATTTGCTTTGATAATATTATTATGTTCATCATGTCAGAAGAAGAGAAAAAAAGTCCTTGATTTTCCAATATAATGACATTAATAAAAGGCTTTAGGAAATTTTACAACGTTGGATTTGAAGAGGAAAATGATAGCTGATTTGATTAACCAGTTTGGGTATTGATTTTTGTTATTATAATGTAAACAACTCCAGTTATATAATTAATCAACCTTTATAATTGAATATGATCTTTTTAAATGTCATTAATAATTAATTATAAAGATTTATTAATTCCCCCATTTACTAGACAAAATATCTCAACAACCACAACACATCTTAGTATTTCTAGAATATAAAATTCATTTTATCTTAAGCTTAAGCCTCCTGCACCAGAAGCCAGCCACAATATGATCATATCGGATATTATTTAAGATTACATAATAGTAATTAATACGACACAGATTATCACATGTCTGCCGGTGGTGGCGGCGGAACTGGACTGTTTACTTTACTCCGGCACAACCTTCCATGCACTTAAAGTTATCAGCACCGCATCCCTCCATGCATTGCATAGCATCTGCCGATTGACTGGTGAGGCAGCTCCCGCCGCAACTCAAAATTTCTTCCCCACAGTGGGTTAGGCATTTCTGTATTGAATTTTGGCTCTTAACTTGCGCCGCTCCCGCGGTTATAATTAGCACCAGAATTGCAAGAACATGAGCTGCTGAGATGCCCATTTGCTCGTACACAAATAAATAATTAATTTGTGTAATTAGCTGAGGCCTGAATGTTGTGTTTATATATACCACATTCAATTGAGTTACGTTTGAAACCCTTTATTTTCTTTCTTCCCAAACAGACACTTTCTCATGTTCATGTAAGAGTCGTGAATTTGTTGTTTAGATAAACACGGCAAAGCTAACTAAAAACATGCATATCTGCAATCTTCAAATTTTTTTCACTCATTTAGAACATAATATTATATTTACTAATACAATGATATAAGAAGGTAATAAAAAATGAAGGAATGATAGCGATAATAGCTAATTACGATTACGATTACGATTACGTAACGTACCTACCCAAAAGGTTGATGTTACACACGTGAAACTTGGTAGGTTCCAACCACCTCTATTTGTTTTAAATTATTAATTAGCCACCGAACTTGGAGACTTGACCAATAATATTTAAAAAATGTTCTGAAAATTGACCATATGGAGGTAGCTAGGAAATATATATGTGCGGAGCCTTCAAAACCTTACTCCAAATTAATTGAGCATCGCTACTTCTCTTTGAACAACCAACTAACATCACTTAAATAATTCTCTTCCTTCTTTCTTAATTAATTCATTCAAATTATTAAGTTTTGTTATATTTTTATTCTTGAATTAGTTCATATATGAATTGCTTAAACTAATGTATCATGGTTTGACAACTTCTATTTAAAATACGTAAATAAAATCATTATTAAAACCATATTTGAAAGTTTTTTAAATATTATTATTATTATTTAGATATTCAACTTTAGTATCTTATCTTTTTATTTAATAATACATATTATAAATAAACAAAAAATAATAATAATATTGATAACTAAGCTCAATTTGCCAGCGAAGTAGCAGGTAGCTGTTTCTAGACTTATGCAGTAATTATAAATTATTTGATTTGTATTTAATCATACATAAACATAAACATTGTCAAATTAGTTAGGTAAGATTTTAATTTTGAAGTCACCTACTGAAGTTAATGTCTTTATTTGGTTGTGAAACCAATTAATTAATTATAAACAACTATACCCCGATTTTCTGCCCTAATTTAATGAGTAATATGATAACTAAGGAAAATGTTTTGCTAACCCTATTAAATCCTTTTGACTTTACCCATCATTTTGTACTTGAATTTAATGACTTGATAATCAAGGCAGGCATTCTTCTAATACCAGCAAAATCGTGAGATTTTCCTTTGATAAACAGTATGTCGATTTTGAAAAACAATCTTTCAAATCAGAACAATAAAATTAATTTTATCTTTTTCTAATTCAACATATCTGATTAAAAAAAAAAAATGTTGTAGTAATTACTCAATATTGTCTCTAAATCTTAATTATTTTTAGTTTGTCCCATATTATATTTGCATCCTATTTAAAAAATTGTATAAACAAAAAAATTGTAATATATATATTCGTTTATACCAAGGCCAAGAGTGAGAAGCCAACCCACCTAACTATCAAATTAAGAAGTAGATTTTTTGTATTGCTATATATTACACCAGTTCCTTTTTTGCTGAGAACATACTTATTGACTGTTGAACTAAAAAAATAAAAAAATTAATGGGTGGTGGGATTTATTTAAGTATACACATGCCGGCACCAAGTAATGAGTTGGTATAGGTTAATGGCAACTTACTTAAAGGGAGAACAACATTTTCCCACCCAAGGTTTGGTAAAACGACACTTTCCCACCTGTTAAGTTTCAAAAAAACACTTTCCCACCCTCCGTTATGTTCTGTTAAGAAAATCCGTTCTAAAGAAGGGCAGGATGGTTAATTTACGTGAAGCCTCATAAATCAAAATTTAAAAATTGAAATATGCTTTTTCCTTTCTCTTTTCCTTTTTTTTTTTTTCCTTATCTTTTCTTCGCCGTCATCTCTTCCTTCTACGCTGGAGGTTGCGACATTGGCGTAACCTACAACTGCCAACTGGGCTGGCGGTGTCACAACCTTCAGCCACAAGCTAGGCTGGCTGCGACATTACCAACTCAACTCGTAGCCAACCAAATCACGATCGAAGGCAACGTTATAGACACTTAACTTGACTGTGACACTGACACTAACACCTCAGCTCCCGTTCTTTTCCTGCTCATAATTTTTCTTTTGGATCTTATGGTCTGTGGGTTTGTGGTTTGGGGGTTTATTTTTTGTGGATTTTTAGTGGTTGGAGGATTTGAAGATTCTTTTCTTGAAACTGATGTTTTGCGATTGTTAGACGTTGAATTTTGTGTTGTGTCGGTTTGTGAAAAGAGTTTGTATCTGAATTTTAATTGTTAAATTTCAATAGAGAGAAAAAACACTTCAATGGGTTTGCTGGATATTATGTTGTGTTGTTTGGGTTCCTGAAAAAAAAAATCTGTATATGAATTTCAGTTGAATAATATCAGTAGAGATTGGAAGTTTTAATGGGTTTGATGGAGGAAAGAGAAGAAGAAGATGATTTGGGCATAATACTTTTGGTGGAGGAAGGAGAAGAAGAAGATGATGAACAGCAGGAAATTAAGGTTGGAGAATGAAAGAGAGATGTTAGAGAAACCATGTTGTGTTTAAGGTTTTTGGGTAATGGGTACTATGCGATGAAATATGGAATGGGAAGATATTTATGTTAGAAGTAAGCAGTTATTGATTTATAATTATTTGATTGATTATTGTAATATTTTATAATTAAGAGTTTATTGCATTTTTTTTACAGTGTTATTCCCTTTCCTTTATTGTATTCAAGGCCCCTGTATGAATTGACTGATGTACACATTACATTATACAATACAAAAATATAATTCTCTCTTTGCTTGATATTCTTTAATCTTCATTTCCCATTCTATCAAGCTTCCTTTATAGCATTCTTCGGCAGTCTTCTGCCTCTTTTGCCACCTTCAATCTCAAACTGTGACACTATAGTCTATGTGAATACTAGAAAAAATATAAATTTGATCCCATAAAATGTTGTTGTTGTTCTAGAGAGTGTGTGGTATGGGTAGTAAAGAAGTGAAAGGAGAGTCAGGAACCAAAAAAAAAAAAAAAAAAAAAAAAAAAACCTGATCTGGTTTTGTCATGTTTTCGCTTCTTCTCTCTCTGTAGAATTTTCTCAATACTTATTTTAATACCCGCACAGCAAACTTTTATTACTGCTCAATTACAGGGTATTGTCATTGTTAATGGGAATGTAAATTTACGATTTGTCTCTCTAACTTTTTATTAAAAATAATGCTTTAATAGAATTTAAGTAAAATTTATATACAATTTTTAAATTTAAAGAGAGGGTACATTGATAATTGACTATGTTGCATGACATAAAAAAATAAAAAATTATTAAATCAAATAATAAAGGGAATTTTTATCTTTATAATTAAATAATAACGAATTTTACTAACGAAATATAACAGTGGGTGCGAAAGTGTCATTTTAAAACTTGAAGGGTGGGAAAGGGGGCTCGCCAAACCTTGGGTGGGAAATAGTCGTTCTCCCCTTAATTAAATTACAATAATATGTGTATTAATTATTTCATTCTACTTGAATATAGTAAATGTACGAGGGATCCAAGAAAGATCCATCGGTATATAGTAATGTTACCATATCTCTTGACTCTGTGTCTTTAACCTTTAATTTACTTAAACATGGTAATAAATAACAGTAAGTATATAATATATAGTTTCTAATATTATGATGTGACAAGAGCTACCTGGTTTCAACTTTCAAGAGTCAATCTCCCTCACATTAAATAATATTATATTATATAAATTTAATGAATTATGATTAATCATCTTTGTCTTCATTGCGAACAATACATATATCAAATTTGTTTAATCGGAATAAGCCGGATGAATTTTATATTATAGCTAAGAGAAGTCATTTATAAGTTAATTTTACTTAAGTTGTTAATGAAATATATATATATATAGATGTTATTATCGTTGAATTGTTATACAAATTATCAAATTCAATCTAATCTCAAGTCTTCATTCTTCCCCTTTGAAAATAGGTTATAGTTTCCGATATTTTTGTGAAGACAAAATGCTTGAAGAAATACATCATGTGGCAACTCAACCACCACTGCTTTCAGCAGCCTAACCGTATCANGGCTGGTGAAGTCCTGAGACAGCGTGAGTCAATTGGGCATCCCATGTCAATGAGTGACCTACACGTGGCATGCCATGGCCCATTTAATAATTAACAATTTCTCATCTATTTTTTATTTATATTTATTACTTCATATGGAGCATATTTGACGGCAATCTTTTTCAATAATTTGTAACATGATTATTGTAATTATAATTATTAGGGTATCCATTTAATGATAGTTTCTGCTTACTTCCAGTCTCCAATCATACACCAAAAATAAAGTTTACTTGATAAAAAATTTCTAATTATTTAGGGAAAGATTAAGAAATATATTTAATATTTGAATTTCAAAACTAAATGAATATAAATCTTAACACATATTATTATATCCTGGACTATTTTATTTTTTAAATTTTAAGAAATATATGTAATTTCAATTAATGAAATTGTTACAATGTTTTGTTGTATCAAATGACAAATGACATGATGTGCATGACTTATATATAATTAAAAATTAAGTACTATTAATTTCACTAATTGGAAATTATAGATATGATAGAATATTGCAATTACAATTATACAGGAGCACACGTCAACCAAACAAAGAAGTTGTTTCTTAATTTTTAATGAACGAGGCATGCAGACGTTGCATGAATTTGACTAAAGCTACTGAAAAGAGTCAAAACGAATATAATTCTGTAAAAAATTGAGTAAACGGACTTTTCCTCACCCAAATAATAGTTTAATGACATTTTCTACTTACAAATTTTTAAAGTATCACTTTAATACCCAATTTATATTTTGTTTTCGATTTCAGCATCGTTGCAATCATATACCACCATCATTCTCTTCCTTGAACCCCTCAAATCTCACTCTTACCGACCTTACCAATCATAAAAAATCGAGCGATTGGGGTTTACACAACCACCCCTCCGAAGTTAAATTACAATCAATCTCAATCACTAAAATCCAACATTTCACTACCAAAAGACTCATCGGCCTCCCCTCATTAAAAACCCTAATAGCTTGGATTGAGTTTACTTTCTGTTCGCTGTTAGAATATAAATTTGAGTAATAAAGTGGTATTTTAAAAGTTTATGGGTAGAAAAGTGTAATTAAACCATTATTTGGGTGAAAAAAAGATGTTAACTCGTAAAAAATTGTTGACCCCTTAATTAATTGACCTTAATTTTCCAATTAAAGATTCTATAACCAAATTTTGTGAAATCCAATAGTTGAAAGTTGGCACCATCCTAATCATTCTATATGTTTTCAATATCAAATAAAAAATTAAGTTATTTTACCTTTTTTCAATAATCTAAGACCCTTGCACCAAGTCAGCTCGCTGCACTCTGATCAGCGATAAATTGTATAAGCGAGAATACAGTGCCCCTCTACTACGATATGTAAATAACGATGAGGTAGATTACATTTTAAGGGAAATCTATGAAGGTACATCTAGAAATCATGCTGGGGGCGGTCCTTGGCTTACAATATCCTTAGGCAATGATACTATTGGTCAACTGTCTACGAAGACATTACAAACTTTATGCGAAAATGCAACAAGTGTTAGCGACTCACCGTCATACCCCCCCTCCCCCTTTACACGCGCCTGTAAGAGCTTGTCACCCTGTCCAGCCCATGGCCTTTTACCATATGGTGAATCGACCTGATTGTGCCTCTACCTTAGGGAAAAGGCGGAGTCAAATACGTAGTAGTCGCCATCAACTACTTCACAAAATAGACAGAAGCTGAACCCTTTGGCGACAATTACGACCAGTTAGCTAAAAAACTTTGTCTATAAGAATATCATCTGTCACTTCGGCATACCGCATACAATCATTACGAATAACGGGAAACAATTTGATAATGAGGAATTCAAGACTTTCTATGACGCGCTCAGCATTAGGAAAATGTTCTCTATGGTCTACCAATTCCAGGCCAATGGCCGTAAATAAAGTCATAAAGCATACCTTGAAAGCAAAGCTCGATGAATTGAATTGGACAAACGAAAGTATTATGGGCACACCGAACGATCGCAAGGACTGCGACAGGAGAACCCCCCCCCCCCCCCCCCCCCCCTAGCCATATGGTTGTGAAGCTATAGCCTCGGTGGATGTTGAACTTGACACATTCCAGCGCGAAGCTTTCAATGAAGAAAACAATGAAGCTCTCATGTGCTTGAGGCTAAACCTGATTGAGGAACATCAAAACAAGGCCCAGCTATGTGTGGCCTCATACCACAACAAGCCAAAAGATACTTCGATTCAAAATTCAAAAATAGGGATTTCGAGGTAGGGATTCTCGTCCTACATAAAATCCTTTCGAGCACTAGGGAGCCAAGTGCCGAAGTAGTTAGACCAAATTAGGAAGGCCCTTATCGAATATCGAAGAAAATTGCCATAAGGACCTTTCACTTGGAGCTACTAGATGGTTCAAGGATTCCCAAGGCCTGGAACGCCGAACATCTCTGAAAGTATTATCAATACCTAGCCTAACTTCAAACCAATGGAGGCCCATTCAAGCGACAGGGAATTAATCTGCAAGCTGGAGAAACACCTAACCAAACTCGAAGTCCACTGCTCAAGAAGGCAATCCAATTGTAACTAGGGTTGTTCAAATCCGGATATCCGATCCGAATAGGGCTTTTTCTGATCCGATCCGATCCGAATTTTCGAATCAGGCTATATCCTTATTCGAATTATGTGGATATCCGGTTTTACGAATATCCGATTATTCGGATCAGATAATTGGATATTCGAAATTGATCCGAATTTTAAAATTTTTCTTATTAAAATCAAATAATTCTAGCAATAAAATTGAAATTATAATTCCCTTACATGATAAAAGTATCTAAAAAAATTAACATAAAGCACAAAACATTTAACATATGTTGTCCAAACACCGTCACAGCCTAAATGACTATGCTATCTTCATTGCCAATTCCTACTCATCATCATCCTCCTGTACAAAACAAAACAAAACAAATAAACCAAAGTCTTAGTAAGTGTTTGCAGACACAGAAAGAATTGATAAAAAATACATCATTCGAAATTTAAGGTTATCTGGGCAGTTCGTGTGACCAATTTGGAATTTGAACCAGAAACTTAATCATAAAATTCATCAAATTTCCCACCAAAAAGTACAAGCTTTAACTTAATCCCTTTATTATCAAAGATAATTCAGCAAACAAACCATGAATGAAGATCCAACAAACAATCCATAGTCAAAGCATCCATCACAAAACAAGGCAGAAAAATCAGCAATTTATAATGGAAAACACTACAATTTTGAAAGGGAAAAAGAAAATTTAGCAAATCTAAAGAAATTTACTTACGATCGATTTGGGGCTTCAATTAGGGATTTAGGAGAGGAACTGACGATTTGGGGTTATTGACGATCTTGGCTTTGATGGTGGAAGGAGTGAGTGACAGAGATGGCGATGGTGAGTTGGTGACTGTAAGTGAAGACTGAAGAATGAAGATGACGATGGTGAGGCTGAGTCGTGAGTTTCTGACTCGTCTGTCGAGTGTCGAGCAAGAGAGACTGAGAGAGTTGAGCGAGAGAGACTGAGATCTAAGAGAGTTGACTTTGAGTGACTGTGTCTGTGAGTGTTCGAGCGAGAGAGACTGACATCTGAGAGAGTTGAGTTTGAGTGACTGTGTCTGTGAGTGTTTGAGCGAGAAAGACTGAGAGAGTTGAGCGAGAGAGACTGAGATCTGAGTCTGAGAGAGTTGAGTTTGAGTGACTGTGTCTGTGTCTGTGTCTGTGCGTGTTCGAGCGGAGAGACTAAGAGTGAGTGAGTTGAGTTTGAGTTAAATTAAAATTGTGTTAGGGTTATTTTAAAAATCAAAACGACGTAGTTTTAGTACAATCCGGATCGGATACGGATATCCGTTTTTTTAACAATCCCGATCCGATATCCGATCCGAATATTCGGATTTTTTTAAATTATGATCCGTATCAGATACAAATTTTCGGATATTCGATTTTTTTGAATCGGAGCGGAGCGGGTCAGGATCGGATATCGGATTTTTTTGAACAACCCTAATTGTAACTCATGAGCTGAGTCTCCCAAGAGGGCAACATCGTCAAAACTTGGGCTCAGAAGGGGGCCAACTCCCACAACTCGGTTACGAACAACTCGAAGAAGCGCCATCCTCTGGCCCAGAGAGGGGTTTCTTTTTATAATTCTTTGTAAGACTAGCATTTCTCACCATTTATATGTCGAAATCCCAACAGAAAGAAATAGGAGGATTTATAGTATTGACGAGAGTAGTTACTACTTGCTCTTTTTCAATCTCATGAGAGGTTTTTCACTAAAAAAAGGTGTTAATGCTAGATTTTGTAAACTTTAGATTGTGTGTATTTCAATTTTGAAGGAGGAAAAACGTGCTTTCATTTGGGGGAGAGTTGAAGAGAACTTAAACATTCTACTGCTCTTCCATACAATTATGCCATACTCTTAGAGGTCATAAGCCAAAACACTACTCATTTTTCTTCTATTGTGAAAAAATTAACTACTACTCAGTCCAAATATTTCATTAAATTGATGAAAGCAAACACAATCTGCTTTCTCGATTCTATGAGGACACTCCCAAAAATCCGGTGACTCCCCTGCTGCAAAGTAGGATTTACAAGAGACCAAATGGAAACTGTATAATTGAGTAATTGTAATAGAATCTGCCACATTGTAGTGGTTAAGGATTAGGCTTCCTTCTTTTTGACTTTGTATGGATACTTCTGGTAGATTGAGATGCTAGTAACGACAAGGGGAAAAGCTATGAGACAGTACAGTGAAGGTGGTTTCCCTTCAAAAATGAACTGCAGGAAGGCTGTAACAAGAAGTGCAGATACGATGACAAACCCCTGCATGTATGGAATGCAGATTTGTTAATATAAGTTTTTTTATAACAATGACCGAGTATTAAAACATTTCAGAAACCACATCACCGACTTCTTTTATTCCCCTATATTGCGTCCAAAAAACTGTTTACTTGCACAAACTCAAACTTACCTTTCTAACGCCACCAGCATGTGTTGTAACTAGGCCAACCAGAATTCCACCAAGAGCATTTGTTATAACAGGGATCTGAAATGGAACAAAACATTTTTGTTAAATTTTGAGGTGCGTGTGTAAATGTATCGTCATAGCTTATACAACAAAACCAGGAAACTATCAGAGGTTAGCACTTCCATGAACGAACAAGAAGACAAAGCCCTCAGATGTCACATTTTCTATCTAGCCTGAGATGGGGACAAGCATGGTGGGCTCTAGGAAAGGGACAAGGTGTATACATACATACATACTTATTGACAAAAGTCAATGTGCAGTGAACTTGGTGAGAGGACTGTGAAAGGCTCCAGTAAAATGAATAAAGAAGTAAACAGACACCCACTCCAATACTCACAATAGAACTGAATGAAAAAGAACCACTATTGAAAGAGTTTTACTGTCAACTCAAAAAAAGATGTCTGGAGTAAAGTATTATTGGCCGGAAACCAAAATGGCTGTTGAGGATTATCTCAATCAAGCAAGGATACTATATCACCTATAAGCAATTTAGAAGACTAAAGAACCAAACTTCATTCCCCTTTAACTTTGAAGCCCAAATCATTCACACTCCAACTGTAATATTTGAGCTAAGAGTCCACAGTCACTCTTTGTCTTCACCAGCAGAAAAATTTTAAATGATAAGAAGATGCTTACCAAAGTTAGTGGAGTCCACTCATAAAAGAATCCATGTTTTCTTATAGCTTCTCCATCTGGAGATTTAGAGGTGCTAGCTAACAAGCATAGACTACCAACAATAGACATTTCGATAGTCATCAAGTATGAGGAGTGCTTCTTAACCTGTAATAAAAGGAAACATAAGTGAACACAAAATCAACAAGGGTATAAGATTGCAGAATCAAGCAAGGAGAACTGAGAAGTCTAGCTAACCTGAGAAGCCCATTGACACAAAGAAGAAGCCAGACCTGATAGGACAGATGCAACCAAGACAGGCACAATCCCGTAGAATAAAATTTGGTCAGGGTCATCAGTACTAGAACTTTTACTGGAGCCTTCACCAATACTTAGAAGAACAGCTGCCATGATCAAGAGAAATAGGGCCCCAATTTGTTGTATTGATTGCTTCTGCCTAGACATTTTGAGTCCAAAAGTCATTTAGATTTTTGTATTCAGATGTAAGTCAAAAAGATTTTACTTTTTCCATCAGATACTTTCCAAGTAAAAGTTAGCCTTAATTTACACCAAACACATACACACACACACACACACACACACTCTTCAAATTCTGACATCAAGTCATATTCAAACCTCTAACCAAAAAGACAAACAACACCCTAATATCCCATCTGTAAATGATAGACCATATATGAAGTTTTTAAACACTGTCAACTGGTTATATAACTCAAAAAATTCCTTTGGTTCAAATTAAGTAAACAAAGAGGAGAATCAATAAATACCTCAATATTATATATGTAAAGAAAGCAGTGAAGAATATTTTTGTCTGATTCAGCATGGAGAAGGTCAGTGAATCAAGATTCTTGTAGGATATCTGCAGCAAGCTATTTTGCAGTGCATAAATAGCTGCAGGAAGTCCGGATGCAGTCAATGAGCCAATCAAAGTCCAATTATTGAATAATTTCCCCAAAGTACCTTCTTTTGCCAAGAGAATTAAGGCACATATAACCTAATGACATGAAAAGAACTTGAAAGAGAGAAAACATATTAATGAAACAAAATCATATTTGTAGTACAACAATTACCTTTGCTAACTCGCACGTTAAGACAGATGTAGTCACAATGACTTCTCGCCTGTAGGAAGAGCAGTCATGAGTTAATGACTTGCACACATCGTCACAATATGCGTAAATTATTATGCAGGGATGTAATAAAAGTGCAGAACAAAATCCAAGACCTAAAATGAAAAGCAAGAAGATCTACTATATAGTAATAGTTATGATATATATTAGACAAGAATAGTTCTTTAGTCAAGACCGTCCTACTATACTTATATCAAGACCATGCTTAATCACAATCAGATTCTTATATCAGACGATCCTGGCTAGAGAATTTCCATAATAGACAATATGGATACAATGTTAATGAAGAATTAAATGAGAATGAGCTGTTATTGAGAAAACTATTTGCCTGGAAACAAAGCAATTCCCATTCAAACTGCAAAGCAATAAAGATTCAATCATACCAGACAATTAAATACCATGTATAAATGAACTATTGGATGCAAATGAGCAATTTCTTGAAAAAACTACTTGTCCAATAACATAAAAATTCCCATCCAAATTGCATAGCAAAAGAAGATTCTATGACACCAAATGGTACTAACACCAAGTATGAATCAAACACTGAAGCAGAGCAAGCAGTTATAAATGAAACTACTTTCCCAGCAATTTCTGTGAGAAACATGCATTTAATATGGCAGTTGTTATTCAAACTATCTAGTAATGAAAGTTGTACGAGTACAATCAAATCGTGCAATGATCACGAACAGTAATTGACCAAAATACTCGATCTTTTATCAAATTATGTTAATGACCCATATAATAGAACCACTCAAACTGCAACAAGAATGAAATGAGATCCATGTTTGATACCTTGTGCAACGTTTGGAGATCAGAGGCTGCGCGCCGTATTGAAGAGTGAGAAGAATGGAGTAGAGTAAAACCCTTGAGCTCATTTTCTGCGAGCTCACTGGTGGACTCGTTCCCTTGGTCGCCGCCGGCGCCATTTCCGGCGACTCCGATTTGTAGGATGAGTGTTGGCACTTGGATTTTTTCTGCTTTGCTACGTAATTGAATTGCAAATCGTCGTCTTGCCTGTGAAGAAAAGTATATTCGATTTTACTTGAAAATGGTTTTATTATTATTATTATATTTTTTCTATTTTTAAGTATAACGAGCATTTAAAGGGTACTTTTGTGGTCAAAAATCAAAATGAGAACTTTCTCTATATTCATTTCAGAATTTTCCAATATGTGAAGCCAACAAACAAACCACGGCCCGTCATGACACATGTCACATGATTGGTTCTCACGACACACCAGGAAATTTATGACGTCAAAATATTACTGATGTGATATTACCGTGTGTGTATATATAAACGTAGTTATATCTAATTTAAGATGGACAAACTTTTGCCCAATTCTTTTGTCCCAATCCCAAAGTTTGTGAGAAAGTTTGTATAAAAAAATTGTATATAAATAAATTGTGAGTGTAGTATTACATTTATGATAATAATATTAGATAGATGATTCTGACGTATATTTTAGATCGGTTTGAGCGAATTACTCTTAAACTAACACTGTTAATGAATTTTGACTTCTGATTTGTGCTATTACCATACCACCCCCTACCCAACCACTATCACCATCACCATTTAGCCACCACTACGACCCACCAAACCGTCGTTAGGGCCTGATTTGGCCTTTATTCTAACGCTGAGTGACCAATCCAACACCACCATCAAGATCCTCTCATCTCCCTCTCCAAAAGCCCTCTCATCTCTAACCGCGTCCTACTGCCATTCATCGACGATCGCAATTTTTTTGTTCACACAGTCACAGTCTATCAGGCCCGATTCCGACGACTTTTCAGCTCCAAAATCCACCATCTCACCACCCATAGACTCACTAGCCTCTCTTCTTCAAAAACCCCAACAACCCAAACCGTGTTAGCTCTCCGATTGTCAGCAAGTTCCTATTTCTTGTCGATTTTTTTGTGAATTTGGGTTTAAATTGGAGTTTTTATGGAGTTGATTGGGTAAATTGGTTGTGTCTGGGGAGTGGGTGGTTGGTTTGAAGTGTTTTGTGTTGTTTAGGTGTCTTTTTCGGGTCGATTGCCTCTTGTCAGCGACTCACTATCCCCATCCCTTTCTGTGCATACCAGGTTTTCGAGAATTTGCCTCAACGAACACCCAGTCACTTAGACCACCTTTGTAACCACCGACTAGCCCTCACCAAAACAACCGATCAAAACAATGACGCAAGAATCAAACCAAACTGGCATGAACCAGCGGTTGCGAAAAAATCGATCCAAAAAGTCGCAAAAAGAAGTTGTCCCTTGGTGGAAAGAGGCGATCGTAACCGAAAACCAGTGAGCAAGTGAGGCAAAAGGAGGCAAGGGTTTTATAGAGCAAATAGAGGGGGCGATGAAGATTTTCGGCTGACAAAATGACTGGAAAAGCGATTACAAATTGGTCGTTTACATGAAAAAATAGTGGGCTTTTCTGGAAAACAGTGAGTGATCAGGCGACGAGGTGATATGGGTTTTAAACAAGAGATGATGAGGGATCAAATGGTGGTGGCGGCTCAGATTTATGATGACAGAAATGCCCAGAAACTAGCCAAGAAGAATGGAAGTCGCATAAAAATGTAGGTTGTCGAAATGACTATTTTAGCCTTAACTATTAAAAAAAGGGTAATGATATCCATTTAAGGGTGAGAATTTAGAATTTTTAAAACCAGAGGTACTAACCTAGGATTTTGCTAAACCTTGGGTGAGAATATGTCGTTTACTCGATTTCTTATTCCAAAGTTAAAGTCGGATAGATTGAAAGACTATATTTTTTGAATTTCTTCTAACTTTAAATAAATTCAAGTCAATGTTCGTAAGTGGTACCTTTTAACAGATTTATATTTTTTCTGTGGACTCTTTATATTATATAATAATCTTAAAAAACTTAAGTAATAATTAAATTGTGAGTTAAATGGAGGGTAAATTTGTCAGCCCATCAATATACGAAATATAAAATGTGATTGAGCTGCGGGCCATGGCCCATGGCCCATGAGCTTCGGTTTTGTCTGAGTAAGTGACTGGTCAAATTTGTCGTCTGATTTTAGGAGCCATTGAAGGGACAACACGTTGGCACAAAATTTAAATTCCGTGACTTTGGAGCACAAAATCATAAGAGAATCTCTCGAGAACCAAAAAGCAACCCAACTTTTTATAATTATATTTTTCTTACCTAGGCGTATATTATACGTAAACCCACTTTTATTATTATTATTTAATGTGGAATTAGAAATATAATAAGTTTTTTATGGATATCAATTGTTAAAAGATTTTTTTCAGAAGTAAAAAAGAGAATTTGAAGAAATAATGGAATTTGGTCGAATTTTGATATAAATTATCTTGGAACAATAAATTTATTTGTCATATATTCAATTGCCGTTAAAAACATCATAGAAAAATCATCATAGACATTTGACATGGTTAATATCTAAGGAATGAAATTCCATAAAAAGTTTAACTCATAATGTTGTGAAATAGCAAAATTAACCTTTTATTGTACAATGACATTTATTACTATAAGAGAATCGAGACGAATGCTTCGACAATTTTAACTTGTTTTGCTAATTTATATGGGCTAGCTT